AAACCATTTTAAATTCTCTTTTTGAAAACTCTCCTCGATTTGAGACTGGAGTCACACAAGTGTTCCTCCAATTCACTCAAACCAAGGCTCTGATACCAACTTGTAACATCCGAAAAATACAACCAATTTAAATTTTCAAAACAACCTGATTTTCATTAAAATGTTTACAAAAAGGTTTTCAATACAAGTCATTGAGTATTCCCAGAATCACATTGCTACAAAATCATGAGGAGCGGTACGATCGCGCCTTCGCCTTGCCACAGTCTCCTGAAGAACCTGAAAAACATTAAACCACAACTGTAAGCCCGAAAGCTTAGTGAGATACCCCCAAAATACCAACCACGTATACGCCCTTCCAGGCTACGACCTTCCGGTCCAAAACATATAAAACATACATAACATAACAGAACATAGAACAGCCATGCATATCGGGTCTACCGTGTGACTGGTCCGCCGTATCGGGCCTTCAGTCCAACGGATCCATCCTCCAGGTCTAGTCATGTCCTTCGAGTCTACAGTGGGTTGGTCCGCCCGCATCGGGCCTTCAACCCACCTGGTCCACTCTCTGAGTCTACAGTGTGACTGGTCCGCCCGCATCGGGCCTTCAGTCGGCCTGGTCCACTCTCCGAGCCTCGGCACGTCTGGTCCGCCCTCGTGGGGCCTACAGCCTATCCGGACCGCTCGCTGGGCCTTCGGAACAACCGGTCCGCCCTGGGTATCTTGGCCTACAGCACAAAGCAGGACCCGCCTCAACCCATCTCCAGTCCAAACAACCATGTGCACAAAACATACATTCATATAACAGTCATAGTCAACAAACCGAGCAAGCAGATCACATAGCATATCATTACCCTAACCGGGTTACCGACCTAACCGGTCACTAGCATAGCATCACTCTGTATATCGGGAAACTGACCTTAGCAAGGCCTCCTAGCATGTACCATCCTAGCTACCAGGATGCAGACACATCAAACAATAACATAATAACCATAACCGAATCTCAATACAATAAAGGGCCGGCCTTGGTGCCTTAGACCCTGTTGATATAGTGAGGATAACTCACCTCGAAACTGCCGGCTGAAAAGATAAGATCCCGCTGCTCCGAACTCTGCACGAACTCCTCACTAAACATCAAAACATACAACTCAATAAATACCCTTAATTACCAAAATACCCCTGGAAGACAACTGGTCAACCTTGGACGAGTCAAAGTCAACCCCTGACTGACCCTACTCGCCGAGTCATCCCGATGACTCGCCGAGTCCTATGCTCAGAACTTCCCTCAATTAGCGACCCAACTCGCCGAGTCACCCCAAGACTCGTCGAGTCCAACAACTCTGAGTCCACTCGCACCCAACTCACCGAGTCATCCCTTGACTCACCGATTCATCGACTCAACCAGAAATATTGGGACTTCCTCGACAAGACTCGCCGAGTCCAAATGGACTCGTCGAGTCCAAGGCCATCTTCAACCTACTCGCCGAGTTGTTCTTCCAACTCGTCGAGTCCCAGGCCATCTTCAAGCAACTCGTCGAGTCCACCCATGTGACTCGTCGAGTACCACCGTTCTGAATCCATACAGAAGCATCTCAGGCCATGCAATTGATCCAAAACATAGATCCAACCTCCTACAATCCATCCATCACGTAAAGTGGCAAACTTTACGTGAATCTAACGAGATTAAGCCATTTCACCTTAAAACCAAGGTTTGGGACATGGTGGCTTCACTAAGCACTCAAACACAGGAACTTTAATGCACTCTAGGCCTTCAATATTCCAGATCTGAGGTAGCAACCTCAGATCTATCCTCCAAACTCCAAAACATTCCAAGACATACTCCCCACAAACCCCAAAATGATGAAACTAGGAATGCACAGCCTAAGGACGAAGATATTACCTCCAAAAGATGCCTCAATAGCAGCCAAACTCGAATCCAAGCAAAGCCCTTTGATCCAAGCCACTTCTCCTTCAAGATCTCTTCAAACAACACCTCTCCAAGCTCTAATTTGCTCCACAAATGATCTCTCCACGAATTTAGGGTTTCTGGAACTCAAGGGGGGAATAAGGGAGGCTGTGGAGGGTATAATGCTCTTTATATAGGGCTCAACCCGAAATTAGGGTTTTCTCCATACAGCACCTACTCGCCGAGTCCATCCAGGGACTCGCCGAGTAGGCCACTTGACACGCGACCATGACGCGACCTGACTCGCCAGTCAGCCATGGACTCGCCGAGTCATCCTCTAAAACTTACACTTTTCAGCCCTTCAACTCTACTCTTGCGATTCCGGGATGTTACAGACTTCCCCTTAAGACCTGTTTCTGCGGTCTTGAGAAGTCCCTGAAGTTTGCTGAGGGTTACCTCTTCCTTGTTCATGTGATATGTCATGCGGAATTGATCATAGCACGATGGTAAGGAGTGCAAAATGATATCTATTGCAAGCTCCTCAGAGAAGTTCACATTAAGCTTCAGCAAACGATCCACATACCTTTGCATTTTCTGCATGTGGCTCGTGACGGAATCTCCGTCCTTCATCATGGTTGTTATCATGGAGCAGATGACTTCGTACCTCTCTTGTCGTGCACTTTGATGGTATCTTTCCATCAAATCTTGGTGCATTTCATAAGGGTAGAAATCCTCATAAGACTTTTGGAGTTCAGCTGTCATTGTGGCCAACATGATGCAAGCCACCTTGGTTGCATCTCTTTCATGAGTATGAAAGTCAGCGATCTCCTGGGAGTTGCAGTGGACTCATCAATTTCCTTAAGCTCCTTGTCAAGGACATATTCTTTGTCCTCGTAGCGGGTAATCATCCTGATGTTTCTGATCCATTTATTGAAGTTGGATCCATCAAAGGTGACTTTCCCACACAAACTCATAAGAGTAAAGGAGCCATTAGGATTCGAGCCAGAAGCATTATTTGAAGACATCTGAAAGAGAAGAACAAGTTTAGTATAGATTTAAGGAGTCCTTAATAAAACACCCAAATGTAATATTAAGGCTAGGATCCAATCACAATATAATATAACTTAGAAGAGGTATGCCGTAATCTAAGCTATACCATATTTGAAAGGTAGGTGAATGACGATTCACCAATTTCCACCACGAAAACCGAAATAATTAGATATTTAGTTTTTATTGGTTTTAGAAATTCCTAGATTCTTTGAGATCCAATGAACTTTTCAAAGGCATGTTTCAATCTCGAGAGTGCCCTCCAAGTTTTGTGACTGGGATACCGAGGATCACAAAACGAGGTGTGAAGTAACCATGCAAATCACTTGGTACCCTTAAAGTTTATCACTCAATCGATGTGCCGGTAAACCACACACGCTCCACCGATACTATAATAAACCTTAAGTCACCCTTTACCTACCTTGTTAAGTCCAAGTTAGTGTGCCGGTTAACCACACACGCTCCACCAACGACTTAGACAAAGTGTAAAGTGTAATTTCATGGATTAGCACCTTATTCACATTTTCCTAAAGTAACTAAGATTGGGAATTTAATAAAACATTTAGTTACTTTATTATATTCATCATACTTTGAATGAGAATTTAAGTCCTTGTCTTACCCGTTCGGCTAACGACCCTCCACCAGTCAAGCAAGCGGTGGGTGAGAGTAAACACCCATTAAGTCACCATTTTATAGGCAACAACCTTATACCCACCTTATAGACCGGCTTCGTGAATGAGGCGTACTAGCGGTAAGACGACTTTATTCTTATACATATATATAATTATTAAATCATCATAATATAAGTATAAGGGTTGAATTTTAACTTTTAAAATTCTAGGGGTTGGAACTTAAAGTTTTAACTTAACTTTACTTGTTCCAAAACTTGAGGGCAAGTTTTGTAACTTTCAAAACTTTTCATTTCTTGTAACTTATGAGTTTAATAGAGTAATAAAATGAAGACTCTTCATTTTTCTAACTCTTGTGTTTTTTAATGGTTTTAATTCAAGTGTGACTCTTGGTTTTCCATAACTTAAGGATAAGTTATGGACTCCATTAAAACACATTATGATCAAGAATTAATCTACCACATAGGTTACAAATAATTCCTATGATCATCTAAAACATCATAAGAACAAGAACATGAATATGAACACAATCAAAAATTACATTTAAAACTTTGTAATTTTGATAACTAGTTGTTGTAAATGAATTAGCAAAGACATTACACCACCAAAAACAAGTTTTCAATTACCAAAACAGTTTAGGGTAATGTTTCTAATTCATTTCCAGCAACTAAATCGAAATTCTGCAATCAGTCGACCCTACTCGCCGAGTGCATGAACTCACTCGCCGAGTTGGTTGAAGATACTCATGAACTCGACGAGTCCCCCCTATAGACTCGACGAGTCCATTCGCAGACAGCAAGATTTCGATTCTTTTTTCAACTTTTAAGCACAAATAAGAGCAAACAAGCCTAGGCTCTGATACCACTGATGGGTTTTGAGCATTCTAACACTTCCTAAGTGTACATGCAACCCTAATAACCTTGGATCTATGTTTGTCTAATTATCATGCAAAGTTGAATTCCAAGGTTATATTCCTATCTAGCATACATGGGGAACAATTTTAACTTAAAGTATAGATAGAATAACTTACCTTGTTGTTGTTTGTGTTCCTTGAAACCTTGTGAGCCTAGCACCCCAAGTGTGATGCCTCAAATGCTTCACACAACACCAAATGCTCTTGGAAGAACTTATGAGAGAACACACACTTCTCAAAATCGGCCAAGCCCTCTTGTTTCTTAGTGTAGCCGATTTTGGTGGAGAACATGTTACTTATATAGTGTTGACACATCTAGGGTTAAACCCTAATGTGTCATGACTCTTCATTTCCATGACCCATGGGTTTGTAACTCCCATGGAGCATCCTATGGGTGGAACCCAACTTGATAGTCCATGGAGCCTTTTAGCCCACTATACAAGATATGGATGATTTACATAATCAACCCATATATTTAATTAGTTATCTTTTGATCACATAATTAATTCTAAATTAATTCTTGATCAAACTAATCAAATAATATTATTAATATATTAGAACTTATAATATATTAATAATCTCCAAGTGTTATTTCTCTCATTTAGTCTATCCAATTGCATGGTGCCATGCAACCCAAATGGACCATGCCGGGTCGGGTCAAGTACATACCAGAAATAGTTATGGACTTAGACACCTTATCCAACAT